GTATTTTTAAGAATATTTCATCCTTCACTCTGGAGATTAATTCTAGGGGGAAATATAAATGTCTATTGAAGTTGTTATATAATTTATTAAAACGATAATTTATTTGTGTGGACTAGATTTTCTTTTAAGAAGGCGCAAGGACTGTCACTGGGATGCCTTTGATCACAGGAGAAGAAGCGGCTCCGCCATCTTCCTACTGCGACGGAGGAGATGTACAGGCGTCGCGATCCTGCGTCGCGCTGAGCTGGTTCTTGCGCCATTTGATGCGTCGGTTCTGGAACCACACTTTGAGCTGCAGCTCACTCAGCTCCAGTTGGCTGGCCAGGTAGCGCCGCTCGGGGCCCACCAGGTACTGCTGCCGCTGGAACTCCTCCTCCAGTCGCTGAAGCTGCGAGTCCGTGAACACTGTGCGATGTCGCTTGGTCTTCCCGGGGGCGTCCCTAGGGCTGGTGTCGTAGGACTCATGAAGGAGGAACACTGGAGATGCAGGCGGGGATGTGGGTGCGGCAGGAAGATCCTTTTGAGTGTCAAGTCCCAGAAGGGCGTCGATGGTGAAGGCCTTGGCTTTGTGGGACATCCGTGAGGGCGTGATGATGCGGGCGGGAGGAGGGCTGACGGGCGGCGCCCATGGGTGGCTGAAGGCCCACGCCAAAGGCTGGAAGTTCATCACTGAGAGTTGGTCCATGTTTGCTGTGGCCTGGGACAGGTATGTCGACATGGGTCATCCCGAAGCTTATATACCCCTTACCTGTGGTTCTCCACCAATCAGAATGAGTCTAGGCTAATTAGCGGATCAGAGTCGCGTCCATTTAACACGTGTAGCAATTATTCTCATTTGTATTGTTTATTTCGTTGTTAACTAATGCTTTATTTCCATTTTTATTTATTGAAGAAAATATGCCAGCAAGTAAATATGGGGTGTACTTTTTTTTATTCATGCCTTTACCTTGATGTACAGCATACATATCATTATTATCAATGGCGTGAAAATTACTTATGCTCTTGTGAACAACGCTCTGCAGATGGGGCATAGAAAAGAAACCTGAAGACGCTTCAGCAATGCTAATGCGATATCAATTGTAAAAAATATATAAAATCAAATGGAATACATTCTTCCTGTAAGCATCTGTATATTACTCCTTATCAACTTCGACCACACGTGACCTGTGCTGACCTAAGGTGACCTCTGGAGAAGATCTGGTGAGCGGCGAGTGGCAAACTAATATATTTTTACCCCTTTATTCATGAATTCTAATCTAAGCATTTTACATAGGCATTTTATATATATAAAAATCTAAAGGATTGTTTTTTTCATTATCTCTTTATATGCTTCCTGACTCAAAGCAGTGCTAAGCTTTGTTAGATGAAGGATAAGCAACACAGGAATATGAAAACAAGAAAGGAAAATAAAAAAAGGACTTCAAACAATGACGGAAAATATGCAGATTTACAGTATACATACGAACATGATGCAGGAGGAAAACCTATAGAAGAAGATGTGAACATGTATTCATACATAAAACATACATACATGCACACACACACACATACATATAAATACTGAATAAAGTAGAGACTGGGAGCAAGCGGAGCGTCTCTGGGGACTGTCCCACCCTTACACGGTGCGTTAGAGAGCTCGGCCATAGGGAGACCAGTGTCCATCTCTCGGCGCCTCTTGATCTCCTGTGGTTTTGCTGGGGTTCGTTTCAGGTCAATTATATAGTTTTCCGGTCAATTAAGGGAAGTATTCCACAATAGGGAGTAGGACACACACACATACAGAGAGAGAGAGAGAGAGAGAGAGAGAGAGAGAGAGAGAGAGAGAGAGAGAGAGAGAGAGAGAGAGAGAGAGAGAGAGAGAGAGAGAGAGAGAAGTATATTGATTAATATATAACTCAGACACTGGATAGTAATTTCGCACAGAATTTTTAAAAAACTGAGTTGGAGACTTATCTATAAGATGCACGTATACTTTATGATATACCGCTTAAATCAATTGTGTATATTTCAGTTATTTTTCAGAAAGAGATAGAGAGAGAAAGTACTGATGCTGTTTCAAATGATCATAGTTGACTTCAGCATTTAGTACTGTTGTAAAATTCGCCTTCCTCCCACCCCCTCATCAAAGGAGTACCGGCAACTCATGACGAAACAGATTACACACCTGCGACAAAGCTAATGAGTTGGCAGCCCCGCCCATGCAAGACAGTCGCTCACTTTGTCGGCAAGCATCCATTTGCATCCAAAGTGTGCCCTTGAACTTTTGTGTACCACTGACTGTTATTTCTAGAAGGAAACTAAAAACGTATTTTAAAAACTGACGAAGACTAGGAGATAGAAAATGTATTTAGGCCATTAAATATTATAAACATACTTTCCATTTTAATTATCACATACAATTCATGTCAAACGAACCGTAGAATAGCTAAAGAAACTTATGGCATTATAGTCTACTAGGATTGCAAGACGAGGAATCTACAAGATGAGCTTAAGTGAGCTT